CGACCACAACTGAGCCCCAGATTTTATGTTGTTAAGTGAAACATTTGTTACGTGAGTTCCCCCCCCCCCCAATTACGACCTTTCTTGCCACAATTCTTCAGGGAATCCTTGCGGTTGTTAAATTAGTAACACGGTTGTTAAGCAAATCTGGCTTCCCCATTGACTTTGCTTGCCAGAAGATTGCAAAAAGTGATCACAACACACACACACACACACACACACACAGGACACTGCGACCGTCATAAATATGAGTTAATTTTCAAGCGTCTGAATTTTGATCACGTGACCATAGGGATGCTGCGACAGTCGTAAGTGTGAAAAATAGTCGTCTTTTTTCAGTGCCGCTGTAACTTGAACTACGCCTGTATTATACCATCTGTACCTTTTTTAAAAAAAATTTCACCTGTCACCTTAGTTTAAATCTCACCCACCCCCAACCATTTGTCTTTCAGCCTCTTCAGAATGTTTCACTGGCTGTGCAGTGTTTTTACCCAAGGGCGTACAGAATGAAGGTACATTCGCTTTTAAGGCAATACGAGATCTGGTTGGAGTCACAAATTCCAGCTTCATGCTTTTATTTCTAGTTTGTACTGTTAACATGGCAAGAACAGCTTACAAAACTCTACTGGTCTAAAATCACGCCAGGAGGCAGCCAATTCAGGTTATGCTTCCGTGAACACATCGTCCTCTCTCTCCTAGTCTGGCCGGTTTTATTAGTTCCACCTCACCTGGTCATTAGTTCTGGGGCAACAGGTGTAGCACAAAGAAGCAGCAATATGGAACATCGCAAAACGTTTATGACTTCAGAAGCTACATAAAGGTTTGAAATAAAGGAAGCTCTGGAGCCCCAAGTCAAATGTGGACTTCAGAGAAGCCATCCCAGCAAGTCGTGGAATTGGGGGCGTTAGTCTCAATTCTTGTGAATTAGGGATAACTTATTTTAGCATGGAAGAGTAAGGCAAAGTTATTCTCATTTTAGATAGCATCTTTTGAGGATTTGCAATGTTAAGTATTGAATTGCTTAACATGTAACATGTAACATGTAATAATTAGCTATGTTTTTGGCAAAGAATATCAGCAGCCTTCCTTCAATATGCCCCACCCGCCTAAGACTGCAGCCCTTCTCTGGAGAACATTAATGCGATGTAAATGTAATTGCTACAGGAAAATGTCCCTCTTCAACAAACATCAACTACTTCTTGCTGCAAACCTTGTGGAAACCACAAATTCAGCCATGTTCAAGCTGCTCTCCTCAGGGCTCTTTCCATTCCTGACAACTATCACCATTTTCCACATAGTTTTAATGGCTGGGTAGATAACGCTGCTCAAAATGCACTGAGGTTGAGTAAAAATTACTTCAGTGCCAGCGGGGAAAAAAAATAGAAAGATTCCAGTTAAGAAAGTGAAAATTCAATTCCCTGC